ATCAGCTTTACCTCTAATTAGTTATCAAACCTGCTTGAATGCAATAAAAAATATTGGCAAGAGTAATATCTTCTCAAACTCAAGAAGCACTCATACAAGTAGTCATTTGGGTTTTATGGAAATATCTAAATCTTACGGTGGAAAGTGAGAATCACACCATGTTGGCAAATGAGGTGCAAATCCTTTCTCATTTTTGGTTCAATTCAAAGAAAATTAAAAGGGGCTCTTTTAAGGTGGTGTGATTGGTGCAGTGATTAAATAAAAGTATGTTTATTTTAGGCTAAAGAAAATTGTAATATAATTAGCATGTTGTCACATAGGATTTTTTTTTAAGTCACATAGAATGGAGAGCATGATAACATCTAAGTTGTAAAAGATAGGGAGTCGTAGCATTTAAAATGTTGTTCGAGTTTATATTCAAAATAAATAAATAAGAAATAAGTCAATCATAGTCTTTCTCTTTCATTTCTCTTTCTTTTTCTCTTTCTCTTTCATGTCGTTGGCGAGCCACATTTGGCGACACAAGCAGCGAATTTGATGGGACTGGTCATAGTGAGAGTGGCGAGTTGGAGCCGAGCTTATGGCGAGGATCACTCCCTCCAACCTTAGCTTTTGAATTTCAACATGTTTCGTTTCTTTTTCTGTTTAATTGTTTTCCTTATTCTATTTTGTACCTGCTATGTTCCGACTAATCTTTAATGAAATTGTTTACCATTCTAAAAAAAAATGTTTAAATCATATAATAATATTATTATTAAAATTTATATTCAGTTCTTTTTTAATATATATATATATATATATATATATATATATATATATATATATATATATATATATATATATATATATATATCAATTTTGATATGATAATCAATATATTTGAATTTTTTAAGAGACAACTATAAATTCTTGTATACAATAAATGTATCATATACTACCTCCATCCAATATCAGTTGTCTGTTTTTGATTTTTTAAATCTTTATTCTTCAAATTTGATGTTAAATATTTTTATTTGTGTTATAGATTACTTGATGAAACTTATAACAATGAAAAGATATTTAAAGCACAATTCATTTAAATATTTTGCATTAAATATTATATATCAAAAACAAAAATATTTAAGATCAAAACTGAAAAATAAAAAACTTCAAAATTAAAAAATAGACAATAAATATGGGATTAGAGAAGTATGTCTAATCATATTTAGTTTTCACTAGAATCTACGTACCTTAATTATATATCTTCTTATCACCATTTTCCTCGACATCTATTAATTTACTAGCTTATAGTCTGTGGAGCCACGGTTACAAATATAATTAAATTTTTATAGTAAAAACTCCTAATTATTTTCAATAAATTATTAGTTAAACATCATTTTGTAGGATTTTCAATATAGAAACACAATAATTTCGGCAATCATAACCGAAATTTATTCAAGACGAATTTAAATTTCTACTAAAATCAGGGAACAAATAAATAATTGTTTAACTTATTATCAACATCAATACCTTTTTAAAAAAATAAAAAATAATAAGAAAATAACAAGTGTATTTTTATAGAGCATTTGAAAACAAAATGTAAATTACGAAAAAATAATATATAACACTAATAACTATTCTTTTATTAATATAGAAAAATTATTGACGATTAATAAGGGAATTTATTGGCAAACAACTTCTAGAAAAACTTTTACCGTGCCTTTTATATTCTTCTAGAACTAATATTATTTATAATGCAATTAGAACATGAATAATCCATCCTAGTCATTTAACATATCAAAATGGACAAACACATGTGAACTGTGAAGAGATACTGACCCTCACTTTTTAAACATCATGAATAGTTTTTAAAGAACAAAATTTACTTGTAGGGCCATAATCTGTATACAATTTAACTCGAGTTTGGTTTTTTTTTTTTTCTTTCTTTCTTCTTTTCTTTTTTCTTTTTTTACTACTTACAATGATACTGAGTTCCTAAAAACAACCAACTTTCATTAATTTATATGCTTGTTCATTAAAAGATTTTACATTTGTTACACCAACATTTTTTTTGTTATTGTTGGCTTAAACTAAGCATAACATATGTAATAGGTTATCATCAGTGTTATAACTACCACAGTCTTGCATGCATGTACAACTATTATTAGGGTTATAAGATCATCTCTACTGCATAGTCTTTATAAAGACTTATTGTATTTGGCAATTAGATTTTTCACTAACAAATTGATAAAAATAAATAAAATTAAATTAAATTAAATCTTTAAAAAATATTTTACCCCAATCCATAATACATTTGTATAAAGCTTTTTTTTTGTTCTTTATAGAATGACTTATAGGATAAAAATCTTTTGCATAAAATGTTTTTTGCTAGGAGGTCGGTTCTTTAAATGACCTATTTAAAAGGTAAAAAAAATCAAAAAATTATTACACATCTATGTGTGTTTGCCCAAATCGTTTTCCACATAAGTATCATGTGACAAGTAATTAGGTAAATAAGATACTCAGAATGACACCGTTTGATTGTGTGTGTTTGTATAATGCGTGGAATGAACTATGTAAAGGAGCTTAGATTGAATCTAAAACTAAAATGATTGTAAAATGTCATTAGAGACCTTATGTCACTTTTGTGTTAAATGTGGAAAGTGGAAACAACACATGAATAGTGTGATTGAAATCTTATGATACCTTAAAATAATTATAATCAAGTTTTATAAGAATTGTGTCACGCAAAGTATCATTGATTTTCATATATTTTGTTTAATCATATTGCATGAGCATTTGCATTAAAAAAATAATTAAAAAAAAAAAAAAAAAAACCGTCAAATGACTTCCATATATTTTGATAAATGAAGGTGTCATCTCACCTCATTTTCTTCTAAATTCGTTCCCAACAACACTAGCGACCTGAACATATATTTTTTTTAAATGTAATATATTGAAGTTATTCAATAAGACTATCTCTATTCATAACTTATCCAACATTAACATTTGGGATATTAAAATTCATGACCGTTTTTCCTAAGCATATACAACATAATGACCATTTTTTCTAAAATTACCTTCTTGACCATCTTTTTTGAAAATTTGTATTTTGCAACATGCAATAAAATTTTCTAAATTTCTTATTATGTTGGAATTTTCATAATTATTCTCAAAACCCTAAATTTCTTATTATGCTGAAATTTTCAAAAAGGATGTCATTTTCATTATCCAATATGACTTTGAAAATGCTTCTTCGAAATTTTTATAAGCATTTTCCTTAAAATCATGTTCCAAGTGTGTAAATCCCTAAAGAAATTCATTCTATTTGATTGTTTTGCACAAATATGTTAGAAAATCTTTGTTTTTTTTTGTAGTATTAAGCACATTCACATGAATATTTTAGAATATGTTCGAAAAAACTTGTTTGAAAATTTTCGAGAATCAAAAATTATCTATTCAAAAATCAACTTGCTTGAAAATCAAAAGCTCATGAACCTGTTTAAAAATCAAACTTTCAAAATATTTGAAAATGTTCGAAAATATTATTTTATTGTCTTTTATTAATATTCTTGTGTTTTTTATAGTGTTTGTGGTTGACTATGGTCTATGGTGGTAGTGGTGGTGAACGGGTGGTGACGGTATGGTAAAGGTGAGGACAATTCTAATTTAATAATATAAAATTAATTCAAAAGAAGTCTAAAATAAAATAAAAATGATAAAAATACAATTTAAAGTTTAAATAGATAAAAACGCCAACAATACAAGAAAATCAAACCACAAGGACAAAACACATAAGGACTATCAATAATTGTCCTTATCATGTTTGTTTTGGCAAGCTACTCTGAGCAATCGCATAATTTTGCCGTTTATTTATTAGGATTTTCTAATATGGGCAAATATAATTTTGCCGTTTATTTATTAGGATTTTCTAATATGGGCAAATATAAGAAGCATTAAATATAATAAATATTACTATACTTAAATGTGAAATTCATTTATTATAAGGAATATTGTCATAATTAAATGTGAAATACATTAATAGTTTCCATAATAAATAAATTTCATATTTAATTATGGTAATATTTATGATATTTAATGTTTTTTATAATTGTTTAGGGTACATATTAAAAAATCTCTTATTTATTTACCGAGTATCAATGTTTTATTAAGTTTTATATCAAGGTTCCCAACTTTAGGGAACCCAATAATGTCTACTAAACCAATCATCCATTTTTTTCTTTTTTTAAAACTATTTTTAATTTTTCTTGTTAGTTACCTAACCACGCCAAAAAAGTGATAGTTTAAGCATAATCATCTTCAGAATTGCTTGGCCATTTTGGGGCCAATTATGCATGTATGAAGAAAGGCATGTAATTGTGTGCTACCAAAATGGAAGTATGACACATCGAGAACGATTGTCGCCTACTTATCAAGATTGTCGCCTACTTATCAAGGTGGTTTTCTAAATTGTTTAATGATAACAGTTAGGCCTCAATTGTTATGCGTGACAGAATAAAACATGTTGTAGTACATTTGGCATGCATTAGACATATATTAGAACTAATGTCAATTTAACAATAAATGCAATTTTTTTTGTATCCTTCAAAAAGGTGGGACAAATACTCATTCTTGATCCCTTGTTTGTACAAAAACACATAAATGTCCTCATTGCCATAATCAAAAAGTCCCCACAAAGGTTGTTCAATGGTGTAGGGTAATTATACACAACTATTTAAGATAGAGTTTGTTACAAAAAGCAACTTGAAAGTTTTTCTAGAGGAGGGCCCTAACTTTTTAGTTTTTCTAGAGGAGGCCCTAACTTTTTATGGTTTTAAATGTGTTACCATAGTTTTATCTTAAATTGTTAGTTGAAATTTATGCATATACTAAGAGTAGAGGGTATTTTGGGTATTCTGTAATGGATAATGTATGTGTGTGTGGTGATGTTAGAAAGATGTATGTATATTATGCATAGATGAAGTGAGGGTTGTTTCGTCATTGTCATGTGGGGTGTTTCCCTCTTTTGGACACATACAATGGTAACATGGAGTGCCATGTGAATACAGGTTGCACACCACATATATGCCGGAACATCTGTAATTAATATTACCTGAAAATACAAATTTGCCCCTTACAATATTGGTCGAATGATTACAGAAGAATCGCATTTTTTTTTTTTTACTTTTTACCACTGATTATGTAGAAAAACTTAACCAAATTATCTCATGATAATATTTTACTCCTCAACTTGCTAGACAGGTGTCACTGCTGGGAACTCCAAGTAGTCAAAATCATCTGTTATCCCTACCTGTAAATTTAAATTTCTCATAAGTTTTAGTATATCGTTCTTTCTGTTAAAAATATCTAAATATTAAATTACAAATTGGTTCCTGTGGTATGTCATTTTTACTTTTTTTTTTCAATTTTAATCCTTATTGCTTTCGTATCAATCCAGGGACCAAAATCGATATAAAACCTTACAACATGGACCAAACTTGTAAGAACATTTTTGTAGACCTAAACCATATGAGATAAACAGGGACCAAATTTGTAATTTACTCAATCTTCAGTTATAGTTTAATAAAAATTATTTAGAGTTGACATAGTCATTTCAAGGCCAAAATGACAGCAATGCACCTCTTTTATTTTTTTTATGTTTTTCCTAAAAAGGGTAAAGAAACTGTTCACTGTTGGTGACATCCAAAATGATGGTTCCACTTCTTATAGGACAAAACAAAACAGCTTTAATAATTTATTCTACTGATACTGATATTGATACTGATATTGATAATGATAATGATAATGACACTGCTAATGATAATAATATCAATGGGACAAAATTTGCAATTCTTTTGTTACATCGTAAAAAAAATTGAACACGTTGGAGACAGCTCATTCTTGATCTCTTGTATGTGAAAAAGACATAAATGCCCTCCTCACTCTCATCATTTAAAATAGCACAAAAATGCATTGTAATTTTACCTCATTGTACAAATGGTCAAGTTGTTCTTTGGCCTGAGGGAAATTTTTTGAACACCATTGGCGCAATGTGAAAATGTTATCTGTAAAATATATGACACAGTTGAGAATAATCAGTTTTTTATTTTTTTTGCTTAAATTCATGGTTACACTTCAGTAACATAATTTTAAAGATATTAAAATTAGTTTTGCAGTAAGAAAAGAGGTCAAACCTGTCCATCTGTTAGCTGCTTCATGGGCAACTTTAATCGCTTCCTCTAAAATCAATCATAAAAAATTTCAAATTTAGTAAAGATATGGATGCAAATCTTTAAAACAGAGAAAATAAAATAAATGAAGAAATATAAGAATAAGAAGGTTATATAGTTAGTTATATGATTACTCATTGCTTCAAATGTGGCAGGATCATTGTCTGCATATTGTCCCATTTCTTCCTGAAATTTAATTTTATTAACTCCTTTTAAGTAAATTTACCTAATTATTGAAAGATGATTTCTAATGAAATGTTACTTACTTTTAGATTGTTATACTTTTGTTCAATGGCTTTGAGCTCACTCAAAGCCTCTTCTCTTGCTTCCTGTTAAGATACTTGAAATTTTATAATAATAAAAAATGCCAAAAATAATTGTAGAGTAAAAAAAGGTAAAGCACTAACTTACTGAATCCTCCCTGCCTTTCTTTAAAGAGTCACATTGCTCAACAAGCTCTACATGCCGCTTCTTGCTGATTTCAAGCTCTGACTCAAGTTTCTTGGACACATTTCTTAGCTTTTAAACATAACAAAAAAATAATAAAATGTGTGAAGTTAGAAAAAAAATGATTTTTATGGTATAGATGCAAAATCATTTATGTGCATAACTTGATCTTGAAATAAAATTATGAAACTTTACCTGGTTTCCAGCACAACTAGGAAGACTCCAAAAGTATACCTGAAAGTTTTTGAGATTAAATTGTGTTTTTGAGCTCTTATTTTATTAGTAACACATTTCTTACTGAGGTTCCAATCTTGTCTTTTGACACCAAGTCATCATCCACTAGGGTTTGGACAACGTCTTTGACAGATTGACTTATAACACCTTTTCTGGGGCCCAGCTTTTCAAGCTCCTTTAGCTGAAATTTGTACACAAAATGCAGGTGTTAACGTAAGTTTTGAATATTAACATATGAGTATTATATGTTAAATCAAACAAAGGAAATACTCATGGTTTAAATTTCACATGGTGTATACATTTTGCAGATTATAATAATTCATAACAATCTATAGAAAAATAGGAAGTGGAAATGATGTTATATACTCACAAGGTAAAAATCTTGAGAGTCGTAGAAGATTTGAAGCATCTTCTCCCGCTTCTCTTCCAATGACAACCCTCTTTTCTTTGACTATGACAACATGAAAATGAAATGAGTTGGAAAATGATAAATAGATATAATTAGCATTATCATCATAATTCTAATATCCATAAAAGATTTACACTACAAACAACAGCTGAAAAACAAATCAGAGGGATTTTGTTGCTACTTATGTTCCCATATTCAAACAACTTGTTTCATCGTCACCTTGATGCTTTACCAAATTATACCATTTAACTCTATTATAATTTCAGTCTAAGGAAGTTACTGAAGACCAAAACTATGTTTGAGCTAGACAAACCATAGCAGCAAAAACACATAGTCATTCATTGACCTTTTCTCCTTCCGTGAATCCTTCATAAGCGATATCAGTGTTTCATCATGTTCATAGAGACAAAAAGAGTTCAAATAAAACTAAACGAATTGAGCATGGACGAGCACAAAGCTAACAAGTGAATTTCTGCAAGCTATTAATTGAGGCAAAATTAGGGCATGAAACGAACAGTTATTCCACTGATTCGATGTTAAATTAACACCGCACTTCCATAGATCAGACATTGAGGAAGTATCACTATCGATTTAAGAACCTATTGCAACGGCATATGATTCGAAAATCTAAATAACTTTATACAACTATAATGTGTATTTATGTGGAAATCTCATAATAATTTTAACAAACAGATTAATTCCAAACAGATTCACGATATGCATCGGAAAATGAAATCAGTACGCAATAACTATAAAATCAATCTCGATTCAAAAAATTCAGCTGTCGAACAAATGGATTATTGTGTGAATGAAATCTTCGCAACGAATATGACAAAGAAACAGATTAATTCGCCAATAGATTCACGATATGCATTCAAAAAGTAAATCAGCACGAAATTGTTATACATACCATCTGGAATTTCAATATTTCAGCTGCAGGTGTAAGTGGATTGTCGAGAAAGAATGATCTGTGAAGTTTGAGTGTGAAAAAACCCCTGGGGCATATCATATTCGATGTGGCGGGAAAGATGAAAAACGATTATAAATTCCATGAATCGTCCTATGGTTTGACCAATTCGCTACTTTAGTCCTTATGTTTTGTTTTTCATTAACGTCCCTTGTAATTTTGAAAGATGCACATTTCATCTCTAGTTCTATTAGCTATTTTTTTCTCGTGTCCCACAAATTATTGTAATTAAATATTTATTTATAAATTTGTCATAAAGTTCATGATTGTGTTATCGAACTTTTTTTCTTTAAATATTGTAACTTTTTCCAATTTATTTATCATAGATAAAATTGGAATAAATCTAAATTTAAAAAATAAAAAATAAATAAAATAAAATAAAAAACAAAAGTATATGTGTTTTTTATGTTAGAATATGTCTGAAGAGGTTTGAGAAGATGACGCGCAGACTTTTTTGGTTATGTTGTCTTCAAAAAAAACAAACAGTCTGCGAAACCTAATATCTGCGCGTGATCTATGTGGCGTAGATAGAAGATGCCAAAAAAATCTGCATACAAAAAAACAAACAACACTTAAATATCATCATCTCATTATTTCTCTCCCTTACTTCAGTCTGTTATCTCATTCTTCCCTATTCTCTAACCGTGAAATATGAAGAAAAAAAACCCAAGAAAATATTGATACGATGTATATCACAAGTTGTCATTCATACTTCGTAGAGCAAGAACATCCCATTAAAATGTTTATATTGTTATTCCAATTAGGTAACTCCAAATGCACAAAAATCTAACCTCATCTCCGGTTTTTTAAAATCCTAACAATTGCAAATATGTGTAGTTTTCGGGGACCTGATTATTGATCCATTCGTTAGATGGGTGACTAAACAGTAGGGATGTCAACGGGGGTAAACGGGAAGAGGGTTGCATCCCCCACTCATACCCTTGAAATTTCCTCATTCCCCCACCCTTGAAATCTATAACCTCTCCACCCCGCCCCCAAATTCTTGGACGGGACTATCCACCTTTGAAATTAAAATGAGGGTTAACCTTTCCCTCGCCCCTGATTTTTTTTAAACAAACCCTATACGGGATCGGGGCCCCACAAGACTTTAAGACATTCGTAGACCATATGTGTGGTTGTATGAACTCTATAAACAAGCTTGAATAACAAGATCGAAAAATTGAGATTTCACTTTCTTTTAAGTTAAATTATGTTTGTGGATATCCTTGTATACAAAATGTAGATTTAATAATGTAGGATCTTTAACCTGTGTTAGAATGTGTATCACGCAACATGTTTTTGGGCAGTTAGTGAAATTTTTATTTTACTTGTTAAATTTAGAAGATTGTTATGTTGTTGACATCATTGGAGTTGATATTTATGTTAGATTTGTTGGAATATGTAACAGTTGGTTTATAAATGTTCTTTTTTGGAAAAATCATGTGATTCTTTTTATTTAAGTGGGTGGTTGGGTTAAGACCAGACGTAGTGTGTGCCTTTATAGACACGACACGGTTGGGCGTATGTTCGACGTAACACGTCCTTTATTTGGTACGACCCCGATTTAATTGTCGGTCTAAACCCTAATTCTCATGTTTGAGATTGTTTAAACTTTGAAGGCCTTACCTCTTAGGGATTATCTCATTCATTAACTCCACCTATAGAAAAACCCTAGAAGTAGCCCTAGCCACCCTATTTTTGTATTCTTGAGTTTTAGTGTGTTTGTGAGTAGAGTTGAAAAAGAAGTAGAAGAAGGTGTTTTAGTGCTTGTGAAACTAGATCCAAAGTTGTTCTAACAGTGTTACCACCTTCTGGACATTTGTAAGTCTTCAAGATCCAAACTTTATAAATGTATGCTTATAGATCTAGTATTATGTGTTGTTTCGGTCCCTTTTATGATGTTTCCTTGGAGTTTGGGGAAACTACAAGTCCAAAGCTTGTACTAAGTTGTTTTATTAACTCGTTGGGGGTGAAAGAGGTGCATGCTCAAGCCCTCTTTGAGCCATGCATCAAGCTTCTAACATTGTTTTGCCTCTTTTAGATATATACAGTTTCGGAAATGTTGCATGTAGCTTTTATATGGATAAATTTGGAAAGTTTATCTATTAAGACCATTATTAGAAAGATTTTGGAAAGTTTGAACCAGTAACATAAAGATTAAGCACCTAATGAGAGAAGTGCTTCTGCCCACAATGTAGCACGTCGAATGGAGGAATCGTGACCGATTTGTCATTTACTGGATGTGTCGCATCAGAAGTAGGACGCAGTGCATCTATTCGTTGATCGTTGACTTTTTGATCAATTTGACTTTTGGTCAAACTTGCTAAAGTTGGATGATGGGATGAGATTTAGTCTCTGTTTGATTTAGGTGGTTTGTGTAGCCAATTCTCTGATGATGGTGTTTCCCCTTGGTTAAGCATGGCTAAGTTTAATAGAAAAGATGGTGGTTCGTGTAACAAAAATTTAAACTTGGATGTGCATAAAAAAGTTGAAGGTGTTTAGGGTTATTCTTAATTAAAATGCATTGTCACTTTTAGGCAATAACAAGTCTAATAGTCATAGTTAAATTGTTCAAGATCTAGAACCAGAGCAATGTGAGATTTTATGTTCGTAATACTTAACACTTTGTGAGGTGTAGCAGAGTTTGCCGCCATGATGGAGACTTGCAAGATCAGAAAGAAGAGTCATACAGGGTTCTGGCATGATGCAGGAGAAGAGTCGGTGAAGAAGGAAGGGATAGAATAGGAAGGTAGAGATTTTAGTAGGATTTTGAGGAAGGCTATGATATCATAACAAATATATTATGTTTATTGCCTTCCATTCTTTCAAGGTGAGATGATACAAGGGACATATACAAAACAGCATGGGCCAATACACTACTAAGGCCAAAATACACGATGGGCTGTGATGGACTAAATACACCAAATATTTAAATACACACTAACAATTACAAAACAAATAAATAAAAATACATCCACATAATTTTGAAAATATAAATTACCAATCAGTGAAAATTTTGCAATGAAACAACAATGAACATACAAAGAGATAATTTATAAGAATATAATAATGGTTAAATTATTATTATTATGGAATTAAATTTCAGGTTGTTAAGCTCGATGGCACTTGAAGGTAAATGATGTAAAATATCATTTTCAGGATCAATGTAATTAGATCCAAGATCCACGTTATGCATTTACGCTATTTTGTAGAATATGAAGCATCGTATTTATTAATTATTAGTAACGAAACCAACAAAATCCGTTGTCGTCCAGCGGTTAGGATATCTGGCTTTCACCCAGGGGACCCGGGTTCGATTCCCGGCAACGGAACTTCTTACCATTTTTCCATTCGATTGTGTGTGTAATAAGTGATAACCATACGTTGTGGGTTCGAGGGCTCGAGGCTATCACTAGTTGTGAGTTGTGATTCTTACGAATGTTATGTATCACATCACGACATCCAGTGTATCGCCTTTACATTAAAATAGTGTAATTTTATCACGAATATCTTTTTACAAAACATCCACCAATAAAATATCTTTAATATTTTCATAAAAAATAATATTTCTTCCTTTTTAAATTATCAAATAATTATTATCGTTATAATATTTTTAAAATAAAGTTGTCATCAAATTCTCGGAGGCTATACCACATTACTGCATTGTCACACTTTTCCAATCATCCAATAAAAAATATATATATATATATATATATATATATATATATATATATATATATATATATATATATATATATATATATATATATATATATATATTCTCTTTTTCATTTAATTGAATTCAATTTAATAAAAATGAAATTTTATAAAATTAATAAAAGAAATATGTTTCATTAATTTGAATAAAACGATTACAATGATAAAATGAAAATATAAATAAAACGACTACATGGATAAAACGATTATAAAATACGTCTAATTATAATATTTTATTTATAATATCCGCTCTAACCCTTAAAATCATATCGAGCTCGTTGTCAGGGAAATGATCAATTGGTTTTGTTAAAAATTTCAAATCATGTTTATTTTGTTTCTCTTTACGAGTTCTTTGTTTCGCCTCTCGAACTTTCTTTTTCTTTTCCATCGCTTCTTTCTTAAAATTCAAGCAACGCTTGAGATTTAAATTATAAATTTCGAAACTAGAAGCAACATTTTGATTGTGACAACCACTTCCAACACCCGATGTATTTGATAAAGACCATTTCATTTTCTCCCATCGGTTGAACTACTCCTTCGAGTTTGAGCTCATTTACATTGTTCAAATCAACCTCAAAATGTGTATCTGATAAAGTAGTATAACTCGTCTCCGAAACTTTTGATCTTTTCTCACCACCTTCTTTTTCTTCCCCGCACTCTTTTACCTATTTCAGGATGCGGATAAAAATCCCAATATATCAATAAATTTGAAAGACCTTTAGTATCAAAAAAATATATTTTAAGCGTCATCTCGAAAATTTGTTGATCGTTTCCCCTGTTTTTTCATTGAGTAAGCAAGTTGTTGTAGATGTCGTTGAATTTGGTAATCAATTTGTTAATCTCTCGAAACTTGTTACAACATTGATGTTTGTTATGGTATTCCCTACGACCTATGACACTAAGAAAGCGCTCCATAATGCGTCGCCGAAAGTGCTTATCTTTTTGCACATTTCCGGTTTGTGAATCCTAAAAAATGTTCACCCATGACTCGGCTAATGTCATCTCTTCATTTGTCTGCCATTGTTGAGTCGCAACCTTCTCTTTTACCAAAACTCTATGTACTTACTAGGTTTGTCAAGTTGGCCCACTCGGTTTATTTGTATCACAGGTAGCGGTAAGAATGTATTGATGTTTGGATCTGATGAGAGATTCAATGAAATATAGGTCATTAGATGTTGTAAGTTCAATAGTGACTATGTTTATGCTTATATTTCTTGTATTAATTATGACATCCCAAATTTTAATAATCAATTAAAAATATTTATTAAATCTTTTTACAAGACAAATTTCGCTATATAAAGAATACTATGTTTTTTTTAAATAAG